TAGCCTCGATAATCAAGGGCCACAACGCGAAAGTCCTCAGACAGCCGGAAGAAAAGAGATGTAACTGCCGTGTCAAAGCAAACTGCCCACTCAACGGGGACTGCAACGCCAGCGAGATAGTGTACGAAGCTATAGTGGACTCCAATCTCAGCCGGAAGAAGTATATCGGCATCTCCGAAACCCCGTTCAAACTCCGGTTCAACAACCACACGTCATCGTTCCGGAATGCCCCACACAGAAACAGCACAGAACTGTCAAAGCATGCATGGGCATTGAAGGAGGCAGGTGAAGACGTCTACATCTCGTGGAGAATCAGGCAGAGATCCAGCGCCTACAAAAAACTTCGAAGCGGTGCAACCTATGCCTATCGGAGAAGATTGCCATAATGAAGAGTGACAAGGCATCGCTCCTCAACACCAGATGCAGCCTGGTCACAAAATGTCGCCACAGCACCAAGTACCTCCTATCGGAGGTGACCTGAACTGTAGACTGCGCTTGCTATCTGTTACACATATACAGAACTCCTGCTATCTAATGTGCATGCATCCTACTGCCACACTTCACTTTCTGCACACCACCCGGCCTGCGCGATTGCTCACACCACCACACTTGCCACACTTACCTTCACCTGTGATTCCCACCTAGACTGGCTAGCGTGCTTCTTTTCTCCACCTGTGATTCCCACCTAGGGTGCTTTTTTCTGGTATGTAAAGGGATACTGATGTGAGAGAAGAGTAAGTTGCCTGAAGACTGCTTTTGCACGAAACTCAGAGTAGCAACACTGAGAAACTTGGAGATCCTTTGTGTCTGAGTGTATAACCCCGCTCTGTCTTAGGACATTGAGCACTTTTTTGCCGACGCAAGAAATACTTCTATTGTTCTATATATATATATATATATATATATATATATATATATATATATATATATATATATATATATATATATAAGCAGATTGTATATATATATATATGTAGGACTCAGTATAGAGTCCATGCACTATATGATGTCCAGCACCCTATATAGAGTCCATTGGTCCAAAATCCACTATACAGAGTCCAGGAGTCCACTCAGTTTTGATCAGCTTCATCCTGCCGCGCAATCCCCTATAAGGAGTACACTTTTTCTACAAGTCCCCTATTCACAGTCCAGGAGTCCAGTTTATCCAGTCACGCCGTCCTGTGTGTTGTGCCCGAAAGAGAACAAACACATTTTCAGTTTTGCTTGCCTCGTGGCAGCGCATTCCTTTCTCCACTTTAGCCATGGCTCCCAGTTCTGCTGTGCAGTTGCTGACAGTAATCTGTCTCGAGGTAACCAAGGAGGATAAGGAGACGTTCAAAATCAAATCTGGAAAGCGTCTTGTGGTTCTCTGAAGACGTTTCATCAGTGCGCGGGATGAAAGCAGAAATTGCAGAACGAGAAAAGTTCAGCACAGTTCAAATCTGACGAGTCAGGTACACTGACACTCTCTTTCGTTCGACGCCACAAGGATCCCCTGTTTGGCTGGCCATTGCTGCCAGTAAGACGTTTGAACGGTTTCATCAGAGCGAGGGATGAAAGCAGAAAGCGGAGAAAGAGAAAAGTTCAGCACAGTTCCAATCTGACGAGTCAGATACACTGACACTCTCTTTCGTTCGACGCCACAAGGATACCCCTGTTTGACTGGACAAGAGCTGCCTGTACCACCGTGTCAAAAGGCTGTCCAACTACATCATTCGGGCAGGACGATGACTGAGGTAAGGAAGCTTTTACTCGTTTCGATTGGTCTGCTGTTCTGTCGTTATGCTTGAATTTGTTTCTATTTTCAAGGAGCGTATCGTGTTTGTTTGATGTTGCTTGAATGAATGCCCTAGAAGTAATCAACCACTTCGTAATAGTCCTCAAGGACTGCAAGGACTCGTATACGATCGTCTAGCTATCATCAATTATTATAATTATTTCATGAGAAATGTATTTTTATCCCTGTGAAAATTATGTGAAACTCCACGACACTCTTCCTCTACAAATTATAGTATGATGTCAAATACAATGGGATCCACAAACGCAGTGCCAGTGTACTAGTAGTAGTAGGAGGATTGCTTGTATGCCAATGACAAGAAAAAGCTTCAAGCTAATACTCGTATTCCCTGAAGTAACCGTTTTGATGTCGCGAACATGACATTGTGTCAGTGAAACTGCCTCGTGACAACAAATCATTGCATTTCCATCTTGGGGAAGACTGACTGACGGCAACGCTTTACAGATTGTTCAAATCATCTCATTTCAATTTAGTTGCAGTGAAACACTGTGTACACTACATGTATGTTGGTGTGTCTGTGCGTCTTGAGTGTGCACAAACGATCTTATTCCTCGTATTACTAATAGATTATTGTCCCCACCGTCACCTGTTCACAGGTCTTTGAGTGGATTGATTTTCATTGAGCATCACATTCGTTGAGAACTTGGTAGTTGTGTGCTCCCATGCTAAAAATAGTGGCGGTCAATTCATCAGCCTTGCAAGCTGTTGAATGGTGTAATCCCAGCACAAGTTGCTATGTCTAACATAGCTGTTCTCTATCATCGCTCCCGCGATGGGCATGTCTGAGGTGTGTGTGTGTGTGTGTGTGTGTGTGTGTGTGTGTGCGCAATAGTTTGAAAACAAATAATTGATCCTGGGCTCTCCATTATTCTCTTTCGATTCTTGTTTTTTTCTAGGTATTTTCTTGGCGTTGTGTGGGTGTGTACATGTGTGTGTGTGCGTGTGTCACGACGTTGACATGATGTTCAACGTCATGAGATTATTTGCAGTACACGTCATAGTTTGTGTTCTCTACCCCGGTTTTGTTTCCGCGTTCCCACACCGAAGCTGGGCCGCGTGTTTATTATTTCTACTGACTCACTCACTTCTTAGCGACGTCCTCCATGTTTTTTCCTCCTTTTTTCTCTGCGCAAGTGCCTTGCGTTTTAGTCGTCGTCTTCTTTCAGTTCACAGCAAGAACAAGAGTTATTTACCTCTTGTGCAGTGTCAGTCAAATTCAGTCAAATCAAGCTCTCCCGATCCCAAGAAACTGCCTGACGTGTGCACAGCGTGCACAATAATTTGGCAACACTGCATGATTGAGATATTGTAATTTGCAGCGTCTGCGTAGAGACCACTTGATTTGAGGATGGTGTTTGTAGGGTTTTTCATGTAGTGAAGTGGCTGCAGTGGCGCCTCAATACATTATTTTTTATCTTGAGAAGCGAATGATGTAAAGGATAAGGGAGAGGCCGTTTTCTGGTTAATATTCACTGCTTACAGCAGATCCTATGTCTAATTTCGAACTCGATAGGGGATGCCTAATTGGCTGGACTTTATACAGGGAGTGTTGTCCACATAAAGACTCTTTAATCTTTATAGTTGATTTCAAAGTTTGGACTCCGTACAGTTGATTTTGGACCAATGGACTCTATAAAGGGGTGAAGCCAATTGGCTGGACTCTATACAGGGAGTGATGTCCATCTAAACTGAGCTCACAGTTGATTCCAATTTTGGACTCTGTACTGTGGATTTTGGACCAATGGACTCTATATAGGGGTTGGACATCATATAGGGGCTGGACGCTCTACTGAGTCCAACATATATATATATTTAAATAGAGAGGTAGGCGAACAAAATTTATATACACACAACAACAAGGTTGTAAGTTTCATAACACTAAAAGCTTTTCACCCATTTTCATCAGTAGGTACATGGGAATGAGCAAGAACGAAAACGAAGCCATTATTTATACTGGGGGTAGAGAATCGGCAAGAATATTCTTACGCGCCTCAAGTTCACACTACACTACCATAAGAATGTATGGAGCAGTGGAAAAATGCGGGAAACAACACATGAAGGGAATGCAGATATATATATATATACTCAATCTGCGGACAGAACTGTTTCGTCCTTTGTGGACTCGTCAGCGCAGCACAGAGGAAATGAGGCCGAACCTGATAGAAATGGAAATAAAAATTTCCAATCAGGCCCGAGCGTACCTTGCCAGAGTGCTCAAACTGACAAGTCAGTGACCTCTGCATAACGCAAACAGCAAAGGCACTACCCCACGCAAGAGTGCTCAACTGCTACAAGAGCAGGAGCGAAATACTCAATCTGCGGACAGAACTGTTTCGTCCTTTGTGGACTCGTCAGCGCAGCACAGAGGAAATGAGGCCAAACCTGATAGCAATGGAAATAAAAATTTCCAATCAGGCCCGAGCGTACCTTGCCAGAGTGCTCAAACTGACAAGTCAGTGAGCTCTGCATAACGCAAACAGCAAAGGCACTACCCCACGAAAGAGTGCTCAACTGCTACAAGAGCAGGAGCGAAATACTCAATCTGCGGACAGAACTGTTTCGTCCTTTGTGGACTCGTCAGCGCAGCACAGAGGAAATGAGGCCGAACCTGATAGCAATGGAAATAAAAATTTCCAATCAGGCCCGAGCGTACCTTGCCAGAGTGCTCAAACTGACAAGTCAGTGAGCTCTGCATAACGCAAACAGCAAAGGCACTACCCCACGCAAGAGTGCTCAACTGCTACAAGAGCAGGAGCGAAATACTCAATCTGCGGACAGAACTGTTTCGTCCATGTATATATATGCATGTGTATTTTAATGATAGTGGCAAGCCAACGACAAAGAATGTAGACATACATCAGACCGTGTACACTAGACAGTCGATACATATACATCAAACCATGCACATATAGGTGACGTCAGCGTTAGAAAGTTATCAGCACGTAAAAGACAAAGTGTGATTGGACACAGACTTGCTTGATACAAGGGATATGCAAGGTGTTGGCATAGTCGTCACTGCTACGCGAAACCCTGGAGCTGCACCAGCACAAAACAGCACCTACACCGTGGGAGGTAGGGGCATTGCAAGGATAGTAGAAAACCTTTATGGTGTTGGACCCTTTGTACCTCCTTGTGAACCAGGAGGATGTTCCATTTCATCAGTCATGCCACTACTCTGGTCTGGATTTGGAACCAGAAGCTCCTAATGGTGGGTTTGTTGGTTGTTTTCTGCCTGCTGGTGTTCTGGCTCCTGTTGCTGGTGTTGTGGCTCCTGTTGCTGGTGTTCTGACTCCTGTTGCTGGTGTTCTGGCTCCTGTTCCTGGTGTTCTGGCTCCTGTTGCTGGTGTTCTGGCTCCTGTTGCTGGTGTTCTGGCTCCTGTTGCTGGTGTTCTGGCTCCTGTTGCTGGTGTTCTGGCTCCTGTTGATGGTGTTCTAGCTCCTGTTGCTGGTGTTGCTCCTGCGGCACGTTCACTGTGGAGTAGCCTGCCATGGTTACGTGTTGTTGCGGGACAGCGGAGGCGGTGGTACCCGTCAATGAGGCGGGTGTTGTTGATGCAGCAGTGCTATTAATAGACTGAAGACCCTCTTCACGGGGATGGCTACTGAGGTGCACATCAAAGTTATCCGCCTTTGTAAACCGATGATTACACATTGGGCATTGAAAAGGCTCCTCGCCTGTATGCTTACGCCTGTGCCGGGAGGCGGTAGTACCCGTCGATGAGGCGGGTGTTGTTGATGCAGCAGTGCTATTTGAAGGCTAAAAACCCCTCTCACAGGAATGGTCACGGAGGTGCGTATCTAAGTTATCCGCACTTGTAAACCGATTATTACAGATCGGGCATTGAAAAGGCTCCTCGCCTGTATGCGTAAGCCTGTGCCGGTCTACGCTTCTAAGGCAAGTGAAGCTGAGGGTACAGCCGTCATGACCACATATAAATCTATTCGATGATTCTAGTGCCATACTACAAAGAATGACAAGGGCAATCAACCGCAAGGAAGGCTAGTTCGTCGCTCCTCTGATGTAAATGCAACACGGGGATGGTACTGGCCAAACTGGTATTCATGCCAGGCAAGGTAATGGTGAATTGTTATGGTACTATGATTTGGGTGTTGATCTAGTAGTTTTAAGTAAGCGCTGTCTGTGAAGCTGTGCGTGAATGTTCGAGGCTGGATAAGTTTCACGACTAGCGGTGTCATTGTAGGTTTGGATACTGTTATCAGGAGGCTGCGTACAGAGTGTGAGGCTGTTGTAGCCAGAGAGCTGTTGGGGCATTGACAGGGCTAGCAATGTGATGTTAGCGCAGGGTATGTGCCTGGTGGTGTCAGAAAGGTGTGTTGATGGTGTAGGTCAGGGATGTAGAGGCAGGCACACCAGTGTGCTTGAGGAGATATTTGCTAATGTCATACTATAGAATAACCGAGTAATCACTCATCAATGAAATGAACAATATTTTTCCTTAGCTCGGGCGTAATTATTCCAAGCTTAAAAGTGTTTCTTAGCCGAAGTAGGCAGTGTTGCAATCACCTGCAATCACTGCGGGTTTTTTGACGCGTGATTGCAGGAGTTTGTGTGCGCTTAGATTTGTAATACGAACGCAGATGCCTGTGTATACGTGTGGACATGTGTCTATAGGTGTGTGTATATGCGTGTGTGCGTGTGTTTGTGCGTGTGCGAGTAAGGGTGTTGTGGGTGGTAGGGTGTCCTGTGTGTGCGTGCGCCCATGTGCAAGTTAGGGTGTTGTAGGTGGGTGTATGTGTGTGTGTGTGTTAGTGTGTGCGTGTATGTGTGTGGGTGTTACTATGTGTGTGCGTGTTAGTATGTGTGTGTATGGTGTGTGAGCGAGATTAAGCGCGTACTTGTTAGTGCTAGACCTGCACCTACTGCATCTGCTTCTGAAATAGCCCGTCCCTGTAAACATTCACGCGATTACTCCTCTCGCTATCGTATTATCCCACATCTTGCCACTTAGATATACCAGCGCTGCCTCCTATTCCATTACCGTTGTCTGATGATTGGTTCAGCCATGAAACTCTGAGTCACAACGGAATTAATTTGCCAAGGTTTTCATTGTGTGCCTTTGTGTCCGCCGCTCTTTCTGAATCAGGCATTGAGCACTCTTGCAGAACCAAAGCATATTGCCTCTAAGTTTACATAGACTAACAAGAGCTGATACTTGTCTGCGAAAGTGCAAGGACTCTAAGTCACAAAGGGCATTTAACTGGGATTACGTTTCGCATCTATCTACACTGACCTTTTTAGGTAGCAAATACTTCCTAGCTACTCTGGATTGTAAAATATTTAAACGCTTCAGCTCAACTTTGGTGATGGCATAGGACCAGGTCGAGGTGGCGTGTTCCAGGGCGGGTCGGACAAAACCTCATTCCTCTGAGTTGCTTTTTTCTTTGTACTAGTTCCGCGTCATTAAAATTGTCGCTTCCCAGAGCGATGTTTCGAATTAATTTTGTCCACTTGAAGGGCACAGAAATCAGCTAGATATTGAGGCAGAGCATTGTCGACGGACCAGGCTTTATGCTTAGTTCACATTCGACGCAACGCCGACGGTACGGGATGTAGGGGCTTGTCGGGAGGGCTGGGGTGAGCTGTACGATTCGTACGACACGACAAGCAGCGGTCGTTGCGACGTTGAACGTCAAACAGCGCGAGTCATAAGGCACGGTCCGTGACGGGGTGACTTTCGGACCTAATTTCTCGTTTTTCGGGACTTCTTTTCAATTACTTCACCTTGAAAGAAGCGGAATCAAGTTAACAATACCAGTTTTTCATGAAGATCAAAAAATTAGCCTTGAAAGTTGTGGCATTCAAATAAGAGCCCCAGGAAATGATAGAATAGTTCGTCTGTCACGACCCCAAATACAATAAGTGACATGAGATCTTATGTTGCTTAAATTCAACTCAAGTCGTGCTAGCCATTCTGTGACTTATCATGGGAAGCGCAGTGTTCGAAATGCTAAAATCTTCCAAGTACGAATCGGGAGTATTCGGCGCACGACGCCGTCTCCTGTTCACACTCGAATTGCAGCCGTTTTGTAAGCTTGCGTCCCCGTCTAGGCCCGTCTACGATATGAAAAGTTGGATCGATCCAACTCTTCCCGTCGCTTCCCGATCTGTACGGTCGTACGGTTGCGTTCCCGTTCCTGGTGTTCACATTGGACGCCGTCAGTCCGTCCCGTCGCTACCCGTCGATCCTTACGTCGCATCCCGTCGCGCCCCGTCGAATGTGAACTAGGCTTTAGTTTGTGGCCTCCCGCTTCGCTGCAATTGCAGCTAAGGTCGGCGTGTTCATCAGAGTTTGAGGCAGACCCTTCAGCACTAAACAATACGCTGACCAAGATGCACGTTCAAATCCAGGTCAAAAAGCTTCGTTTTCGAGCCATCCATGCCTCCAGGTGGCAGGCGATGAAGGCAAGGTTTGTTTTTTCGCGGCTGAGCGTAGCGGGAGAGTGCAAAAATCGTATTTTTCACTCGCAAATATTTTCATGCGTTTGCTCTTGTTCTGCGCAACTCTGTTGAACCTGCCATCGTGGTCTTTGTTTTTCCTCGTGGTAGTTGTAGTTTTCAAGTGCTCCAGTTTTTAGTTTCCACTCGCAGCCACACACCACCACAACTCATCTTATTTATATTTTCATAGTACTATTAGTAGATCTACAGTGTACTAGTCCTTAGTAGTAGAGAAAGAAACGACAGTGCTGTGTACCGTCTATCATGAATCGGTCCAGCCTACGAAAGGTCCACATCGCCTGATTGCGCCTGCAAACGGATGTACCTGAAGGTTTTGGGAGCTGCTGATCGATTTGCGAAAGGCGGAAACAGCTAAAACGAGCTGAGCGTAATCCGCCACACACCAGCAAGTTTCGTACAAGGCTGAGCAGAGTCACCGTTGACCAGTTGACAGCTACACAAATAATTGCGTTTCGGACGGCCAGCAAAGATTGTGGAAGTAAAATTTTGTTGTAAAAGCAATTGGTCACTCAGCTCCGACATGTCGATTGAGTCGACATGTACCTTTACCGCAGCAATACTCTTCAAAGGCTTCAACGAGTCCTTGAGAGTTTTTCCGTGGGCGCAGTGATGAGATCGAGAGGCTACGGAGTTGGTGATGAGCGCTGTCGATCACAACATCGTGTCCCAAATGGTGGCGAAGCTCCTGGCAGAGACACGCTGAAAGTGCTGGCAGTGGTGACACCGCAGTCATACTGAAGTAGTTGTCTCATATCGTGGCGAAGGGCAGCAAGGTCGTAGATGTCTCTCGAAAACACCAGCCGGAGTTCACTGGGACAACCAGCCAGGTTTCGGACAGCACATGGACCGGAGAGAAAAGATAAGTATTAGTACTTGAGATTGTGGATGTTTTCGATAATTTACCAAAGTACATGTATTTGACTTGCCAACAGCTAAGCAACAAATCGTTCAATCACGTCTTACCTTTCACCACCAGCATCGATTTTCTTTCCTGCTGTAAATCTAGAGTTGAAGTCCTGTTCCCGTCGAGAGAACACTCTTCCATGATCATGATAGACCCAAAATATTCACACAAATCGAAAATACAAACTGCACCAACGAAAAGCCACTGCGAAGTGACAGGAATGCGGTCAAGCACAACATTTTTGCTGAAGCAAAAGGTTGCACGGAAATCCCAAAATCAGTGCGATTTTACATGAGCCCCAAATGTTCAAGTTACCCACAAAGACACAAGCTTTTCAACTCTCTTTGGCCGTTGGAACGCGTACCTTCTTCTCAAGGGCTTCAATGGCGGAATTCTTTGCCTTCGCTTGACTCATCACCACTTCCTTCAGCTCCTGTACCTGGTTAGTCAGCACCTTCACCGTGTCCACAAGAGTAGCTAAAAGGGAAATAGCACTGGTTGATTTATGTAAGTCACTTGTTTCCGGCGCATTGCTACTCGCGGCAGAAAACCGACTTTTTATTTCTCGCACGGTTTCGGACCCACTTTGCCCGATCCATTGCAGATCGTTTCGCCGGGCCAGCTCCTTGAGATCCTCGTTCGTAAGAGAGCTGAAGTCTTCTTGTTCCAAAGCCATTCGTAGGCTATACTAAGTAACTAATGCTCACCAGACGGAGCTCGAAAAACGTAAACCGTTCATAAATTCGGTCACACAACGTATTTGCAAAAGGATTATTGGGTGAACTTGTTTCGTAATGCTCAGACGCTTCTATCAGATCGAATTACAAACATAATTTCCCGGTTTTACTCAGCTGACACTATAAAACTCATGTTTTCGACACGAGCACAAACCCACAACAGCGTTCCTTCAAAGTTCTCAGAGAAATCCTTAAACCAGCATGGCTCTTAATAGTACAACACATTATAGCTATACGAACTTAGAAGTTGGGACTTCGGCGGTAATAGTCATGAAGTTGATTGTTCCAACTAGGAACACACGCTTCTTGCCGAACTAATACTTGACACTTGACTGACTCACGACTGCCATCCGGAGCACACGAGGAGCACGTCGCACCTTCCACTCGGCAAACCTGCAAGAAAGCACCACTCCCTGCTCAATACACGGTGTTTCGGGGAATTCACCCCTCATCGTATTGTTGTCCCTCACGCGGACGTGCGACTAGTTGTTGGAGGTGACAGCGTTGCGAATAGCTATACTGGCTCTCAACGTCTGTTTTTCACAACTCCATGAGCGACTCTGACTCACGCTGCTACCTAGAGCTTCACGAGGTGTTTGTCGCGCTGGAAACAAAGCGTCTCTGTAAGTTTGTATCCCTGGTGATGGTTTGGCCTGGAGAGCAATAATTATATAAGTGGTGCTATTCAGGCACAATCTTCCTCAGCCTACTCAAGCTCAACTGATGAGGGGTGAATTCCCCGAAAAACCGTGTATTGAGCAGGGAGTGGTGCTTTCTTGCAGGTTTGCCGAGTGGAAGGTGCGACGTGCTCCTCGTGTGCTCCGGATGGCAGTCGTGAGTCAGTCAAGTGTCAAGTGTTAGTTCGGCAAGAAGCGTGTGTTCCTAGTTGGAACAATCAACTTCATGACATTATAGCTATGTTCCAACATAGACGAATGCTTCACAGCTGAGTGGCATGGTAGTGAAAGAGAAAGGGAAACAGAAATATAGAAACACACTCACAACACACAAAAAAACGTCATATGCACACACAGTGTTGTTGGTATGTAGAAACACGCTTCAATCTTTGTATCATTTCGCACACACGTGCACACAACTGTGCTTGTAACTATAAATACTAGTACCGCTTTTGACATTGGCGCATGACCCAGTGCACCCTACCACATGTTTGCCCTTGAAGAACTTGCAAATTTCAATAATTATCTTTATCAGGATGACCCAGTGGTTTGTTGCCTATCAAGGGGTTCCTCCGCTTTGAAAGGTGTACTTGTATATGTATGAGCTAATCTTCTGCGTACTGGGCTGGAAGCCCCTCTCGCGGTGATGGTTACGTAGGTGCGGATTGTTGTTGTTTGTTGTTGTTTTTTATTTGAATTCGCAATACCAAACGGGGAATAAGCCCAATTACATGGAAGCGAATAAAAGAATGCTAAGAATGAGGCATTGGGGTGGATGTTATTTCAAGTGGAAAATACTGATCCCGGGAGGTACTACAAATAGGTACAATGAAAATCTGAAAAGGCCATGGTACTGTCGTTTACCATGCTGGAAGCAGCTACATGGAGAAGGAAAAACAACAAGAAAGACGTTATATCTCATGTATTGGACAAACAGAGCCAACAGGAAAAGACCGTTCGTTATATGCCTATACATACTGTCCGTGTGTGTGGGGGGGGGGGGCATGTCACTGTTTCTCTTCTTTTAAAAACGTTTATGGCCTGAGAGTGTACGGGTACACGGCTGCTGCGAAATCGGCCACGGCTTTGCAGGAACGTACACTGGCTGGCAGAGTGTTCCACAGCGCAGGTCCACGGAAGAACGGTCGGCGTGTGCCTGTATTCGTCCTGGCGGATCTAAGTTATCCGCCCTTGTAAACCGATTATTGCAGATTGGGCATTGAAATAGCTCCTCGCCTGTATGCGAAAGCCTGGACTGGGTAAGTGTGTAACGCAAGCGAAGATGAGGGTACAGCCGTCATGTATACATGCCAGTGCTTCACAGGTGTCATCTAGGATAATTCAATCCATGCGGTATCTACTCTTATCACTCTCTTGTTGTTGACCGCCACAGAAACTTGTGATCTCTAAGCGGTCAAATATCAGCATATATTGTTTGAGCTGTCAACGTCGGATCTGGTACTGCTGGTCAGGTCCATCTTGTCCATATCGGGATCTATGGGTCGTGAACTCTCTACGGGTTCGGCGGGGTGTGAACGACTTTCTGTGCCTGTACTACGTTTCTTTCGATTTCGGCGCTGCCTCTGGCTTGTTGTTTCTTGCTCTCTCTCTAGTAGTAGTTGGTCTGCAATGGTGGAGGAGTTTGATTTACAAGACGCACACGTAACATTGCCGATGTCCAAATTTTGGCACAGGCGAGTGTCGGCCAGGTCCTCCCTCAGCTGGGAAAGCTCGGAGCTCAATCCACTGACCCTTCGTTGATATCGTTTCTCCTGGTCCTGAAGTTGGCGTTCAAGACGAGCTAGAGTTCTCAGCACTTCTCAGTCTACAACATTGTGTTCGAAGCCAGGCAACGAGCGAAGCTGTGTATGGACCTGTTCGGCGCTCATCAGTTGCTCAGTGTGATCTGGGCTAGCCATCCCACCCAGGCTGTTGGGGCTAGTCTCCAAAAGAAACCTAAAAACTACGGAAAAATCGGGAGTCTCAAAACACGCAACCTACTACTACGACGGGCGTACATAGTAGGCTTGACTAGCTCGACTGCAATGTAGAGAACATCAGTTGTCCTTCTAACCTTCCACTCTGCAGAGGTGCACGTAACTATCAATTCACTTGAATTTGCAATTCAATTTGGAGAGAAAAATGTCACATGATGTAGACCGGTATACTGACTGCCTGCAGATGACATGGGAGAGTACATTTTGCTGTATTTAAAGAGCTAACAGGATCACTGGGTCGGGAGAGATGAAACGGATGCAGGAGAAATGCTGAAACTAGATCTGCCTGTGAGTGTGAGAGGATTGCCCAATGTGAACCTGGTAATTGGTAAGGCTTTCACAAGATAATAATTATTATTATGAGAGTGTTTTCAATAGATCGGTGTACTACAACCATTAGAGTTCAGCTAAGATTATGTCATTTTTTACGAGGCACAAGTCCCATATTCCTTTCAAGCTATTACCATGTTAACATGGCCGGAAGCGAACATATAGGCGCAATATACGTGATTATACTCTTGTCAAAATGCTATGCAAGTACATGTAACGTCAGCCTCTTACTAGGTATGGCTTGCACAAGACATGAGAAGAATAGTTAATAGGCTTCTGGACTAGAACGTAACAGATTGAGGCATCTTGTATGATGCACGAGTGAATGCAGACAGAGATCTGCTGGTGCAGTTTCTTTAGCCAAGCCAACGACATACAATGTAGACATGCATCAGACAGCAATCCAGTAGACAGGAGACAGTGAACACCTATACATGTACATCAAACCATGTACATGTAGGTGATGTCAGCGTTAGGAATTTATCCGCATGTAAGAGACAAAGTGTGATTTGACACAGACTCGATTGATACAGTGGATATGGCAAGGTGTTGGCATAGTAGTCTATGCTACGCAAAACCCTGGAGCTGCACCAGCACACTGCAGTAGCATATCAGGCAAACTTAACTCTACAGTTTACAGAAACACATGCGTTTGCCACTTAAGACGTCCAGCACCTTTACCTGTGGAGGTAGGGCCATTCTAAATGTAAGAATAGAAGAATACTTTGATGGTGTTGAACCATTGGTGCCTGCTGATGAACCAGGAAGTTTTTTTCCATTTCACCAGTCATCCACTCCTCTCTTCTAGATTTATAACCAGGTGCCGTTGGCGGTGGTGTTGGGGGTTCTGCTGCTGATGTTCGGACTCCATTTTCTGGAGGTGATGTTGCCGCTGCTGATGCAGCCGTACGTACGTTTCGCATGGATGGGCCTGCCATGGTTACTTGTTGCTGCATGGAGGCGGGTCTGGCGAGTGTCGTCGGAGTAGAAGTTCTGTGAGACTACATGGCTGAAGCTGCACTAACCGCTGGGGCATTGGATGTGACAGAGAACTGTTCAGCCGCATTCCGCATCGAAAGTGATGGTCTGTTAGCCATGTTTGAAAGCGAAGTCATACCAGCACGACCTCGATATTGTCCGTCCTTCACGCGTTCATGACCACATATAAATACCTGGGGTTGCTACTGCTGGTGTTCTGGTTGCTGTTGCTGCAGATAATGTATCTGTTGCTGTTGCTGTACCGTGGATGCGCCTGCCATGGTTAACTGTTGCTGTGCGTCGACGGAGGTGGTGGTGCCCGTCGATGCAGCAGTGCTATTCGAAGACGCAACGGAGGCTGCACTAATAGGGGACGCAGTGACTGCTTGAGATGACTGTCCAGTTGCATTTATTACTGAAAGTGATGCCAAGCTCACCATGTTTGAAACGGAAGGTGTACCGACACGTCCCGGAGAGTCTCCGTGATGCACGCCTGGGGTTGGTCTTGATTCTCGCTGTTGGTGAACCTTCATGTGTCGACGCATACTCCGCTGCCAACCAAATCTTTTAGGGCACAACACACACTGGTATGGTTTCTTACGAGTATGTGTGACCTTGTGCTCGTTCAGGCTGACCAGCCTTGTAAAATCGCGCTGACAGATTCCACATTGAAAAGGCTTTTCACCTGTATGTGTACGCATGTGCCGGGTCACGTCGAAACTGCTTCGGAAGCGGCGAGTGCAGTCCCCATAATCACATACATGGTTCAATGGCCGTTGCTTCCATGGTATAGATCCACCACTCGATGACAGTCTCACGCTGCAAATCTCTTCTTCGTGATTGTCAGTAGCTGGCACCGTATTGACTGGTGGCGTCGTCATCCCCGAGGAACCATGTGAATACCCAATCCCGTGAGTCGAGGGAAACTCATGCCAGCCGGCCCCATGCACCATGGAAATATTTGCAATTGAAGCTGTGGCATCTTCTTGTCCCACTACACCAGCGGTCATAGTGTACTGTTGCTGCTGCAGCTGCTGCTGGTGCTGCTGGTGCTTCTGGTTAGGGCTTATGGTGGCATCAGCACCAGCAGACCCGGAAGGCGGGTTGGTGGTAGCTAATGAGCCCATTGCTACCTGATCATCCGGCAGAGAAACTTTTGACCCTGACAATAATGGAACGGATGGGAATCTTGGGAACGTATCGTCATTCCCACCATCAACTGGTGCACCAGCCATGTCACTTCCCAGATTCCGGCATTGAGGTGATGTCTGCGTTATGTGCCCGCTACTTCTGACTAAAGAGCTTGTTTGATCTTGCAAGAATGATGATTGAGCAAGTTGTAATTGTCGATAAGAATATGATTGTGACTCGGACAATTGTGACTCGGACTGTGGCCCTGAATGGGTCAGATGTTGGAGGATGGCGTCCTCATCTGCGCCATCAGTGATATTGAAAGGTCCGACATCCATGGGCGCTGATGCTTCCAGCAAGTCAAGTTCTGCTGCTGCCGTGCCCATACCGCCTGGCACCGGTGGTGTGACGAAGACGTCGGCCGTGTAGGGATGCATCTCCTCCATCCCAAGAGCATTGCGAGGGGGAGTCAAAGGGATGGATTTGAGATCTAAACGTTGTAAAAATTCGAAGTCCTGATATATATTGCCAGTTATAATACGAATCGAACCCGCATCGTCGCCACCGAAAGGTTTCGGCATATCATAGAGTTGCATGTTGTTGCTTGTTGTGTTCATCGGCAGCCCAGCTCCATGGATTTGCACGGCCGGGTTGGGCAAAAACATCTCCTGTTGAACAACGTTATTGGCCGGTTGACCCGTCTCACCACCTGTCTTAGCACTGTCCGCCGAATCTGGAGGGGGTACGACAATCGACGCGCGTGTATGCGTCCGCCTGTGCCTTGCCACTTCGTGAGCGCGAGAGAAGCTGAGTGTGCAGCCTTCACGACCACATTTGAATTTCTTCGATGGTGCACATGCCATACTACAAATAACCACAACGGCCAGCAAGTCTAGTTCACTCTTAGTTTCAGGCTTATCAGACAACATAAGTTTGGTATTGGCCAAGCCTGTATTTATGCCACGAGAGGTATTGGTGTTTTTGCTGGCCCTAAACACCGGGTGTTGATTTTGGTAGTGCTAATCGCTATGTGGGGGCTGTGCGTGAATGTGGAGGCTGTATAAGTTTCAGTCTCACAAGAATGGGTACGGATGTGTTCAGTTAGGTGATAGCACCTTGAAAAAGAACGCCTACGAATCTGACATTGGGGAGGTTTCGCGCTTGCATTCGCACGCCTGCGGCGTGTCAGCTCGTCACTTTGCGATCAGTGGTAAGTGCAGCCTTCATAACCACATATGAATTTCTTCCATGATACAAATGCCATACAACACAGGCCCCAAGAATAAACAAAGCCCTTTCGTCGCTACTCTGAATTCCATCCCTATCAGGCAATAATTATGAGGATCGTATTGGTCATACAGGAATTTATGCCAGGTGAGGTTATTATCAATATGCAGTGGGTGTTGACGTGGTAGTGTCAATCGCTTTGTGGGAGGCCGTGTGTAAATTTGAAGGCTGTACGGGTTTCAGGTCTGGCACTCTTATTTTGGGTGTGGTTGGTGTGGACAGGAAGCTGTATACAGAGCTCCTGGTGGTTGTAGACAGGGCACTGTGGAGTAGGTGACAGGGCTAGCAGTGTACTGTAAGCGCAGAGAATACGCCTGGTGTTGCAGGAAAGGTGTGTGTTTGGTGTAGGTAAGGGATGTAGAGGCAGGAAGACTGTGGTACTTGAGGAGATATCTGCACTAGGTCGTACTATAGGACCATCCAGTAATCACTGGTCGATGAAAAGAAACAGGCGATTCCCTCAGTACTGGCGTAATTAGTGCTAGGTTTAGTTTTGAAATGAAAATTTGGTGCTTTTTCATTTTGCTGATCTTCTTTTACGAGTCGCAAGATATGGGAGAAGTTTAAATAGACCGGTGAGCTACAATCATTGGATTACATCAAATATACTGTCATCGCCTGCAAGGCACAACTGATTTTGTAATCTTGTATGATCCACGAGCGAATGCAGACATACATATGCTGGTGTAGTTTTATGATCTTAGTGGAAAACCAACAACATACAATGTAGACCTACATTGGACCGTGTAAAATAGACAGTATACACATATACATCAAACTAGGGCTGAAACGCTCATTCACTCTTAACGATTAACCATTAACGCTTTCGATCGATTTATTGGTTTTATCGATACTTTCTCGTTTCTCAAGCACATTATAGCAAATTTCGTTCTCGATAGACAAAACTTCTATAAAATCAACTCGGGTATACTAAGCATCAGCGAATAGCATACAGCAATATTGCAAAATGTGCATTGAACTTCAAGTGATAACTCAAAAACAACCCAAACAACTGAAAGATAAAACTAGCAGTATTGTCAATTAAAAAAAAAAAACATACACATGTAGGTGACGCCATCATTTATGCAACGAAGTTGACAGATATATATCATATATATGCTGTTTGCGTTATGCAGAGCTCACTGACTTGTCAGTTTGAGCACTCTGGCAAGGTACGTTCGGGCCTGATTGGAAATTTTTATTTCCATTGCTATCAGGTTCGGCCTCATTTCCTCTGTGCTGCGCTGATGAGTTCAAAAAGAACGAAACAGCATGCTGTCCGCAGATTGAGTATTTCGCTCCTGCTCTTGTAGCAGTTGAGCACTCTTGCGTGGGGTAGTGCCTTTGCTGTTTGCGTTATGCAGAGCTCACTGACTTGTCAGTTTGAGCACTCTGGCAAGGTACGTTCGGGCCTGATTGGAAATTTATATTTCCATTGCTATCAGGTTCGGCCTCATTTCCTCTGTGCTGCGCTGATGAGTTCAAAAAGAACGAAACAGCATGCTGTCCGCAGATTGAGTATTTCGCTCCTGCTCTTGTAGCAGTTGAGCACTCTTGCGTGGGGTAGTGCCTTTGCTGTTTGCGTTATGCAGAGCTCACTGACTTGACAGTTTGAGCACTCTGGCAAGGTACGTTCGGGCCTGATTGGAAATTTTTATTTCCATTGCTATCAGGTTCGGCCTCATTTCCTCTGTGCTGCGCTGATGAGTTCAAAAAGAACGAAACAGCATGCTGTCCGCAGATTGAGTATTTCGCTCCTGCTCTTGTAGCAGTTGAGCACTCTTGCGTGGGGTAGTGCCTTTGCTGTTTGCGTTATGCAGAGCTCACTGACTTTTCAGTTTGAGCACTCTGGCAAGGTACGTTCGGGCCTGATTGGAAATTTTTATTTCCATTGCTATCAGGTTCGGCCTCATTTCCTCTGTGCTGCGCTGATGAGTTCAAAAAGAACGAAACAGCATGCTGTCCGCAGATTGAGTATTTCGCTCCTGCTCTTGTAGCAGTTGAGCACTCTTGCGTGGGGTAGTGCCTTTGCTGTTTGCGTTATGCAGAGCTCACTGACTTGTCAGTTTGAGCACTCTGGCAAGGTACGCTCGGGCCTGATTGGAAATTTGTATTTCCATTGCTATCAGGTTCGGCCTCATTTCCTCTGTGCCCCGCTGATGAGTTCAAAAAGAACGAAACAGCATGCTGTCCGCAGATTGAGTATTTCGCTCCTGCTCTTGTAGCAGTTGAGCACTCTTGCGTGGGGTAGTGCCTTTGCTGTTTACGTTATGCAGAGCTCACTGACTTGTCAGTTTGAGCACTCTGGCAAGGTACGTTCGGGCCTGATTGGAAATTTTTATTTCCATTGCTATCAGGTTCGGCCTCATTTCCTCTGTGCTGCGCTGATGAGTTCAAAAAGAACGAAACAGCATGCTGTCCGCAGATTGAGTATTTCGCTCCTGCTCTTGTAGCAGTTGAGCACTCTTGCGTGGGGTAGTGCCTTTGCTGTTTGCGTTATGCAGAGCTCACTGACTTGTCAGTTTGAGCACTCTGGCAAGGTACGTTCGGGCCTGATTGGAAATTTGTATTTCCATTGCTATCAGGTTCGGCCTCATTTCCTCTGTGCTGCGCTGATGAGTTTAAAAAGACCGAAACAGCATGCTGTCCGCATATTGAGTATATATATATATATGTTAGGTACCTCCTCCCGTACCTTTTCTAGCTGGCCTGCATGCACTTGCGTACGCACCTTTTGTCTCCTTTTGCTCCGTTGGCCTGGGTAGCTACTTGCGCACCCATATTTGCCATAGCTACCCAGGCCCTTTATCTTGCCGTTTAGATTTGATCTCTCTCTCTCTTTTCTCACTCGTCAATAATCACCATGTAGTCGTTTCGTTCGTCTTGGTCTCTTGTCTCGTCGTCTGTAATGAATGTCGTTCCCACTAACTTGTTCCCGTTGTCAGTCGTCCTGTTTCGAACTCAACATTGGCGCCCGATTATTGATCGACCCACGACCCTGAGATCATCCCATGCCCAGCCGTCCTCAACCACCATTCGTCTCGTCTATGTCAACCTCGTCTCGTCAATGTCAGTCTCGTCTCTCCTACGCCAACCTCGTCTCGTCTCTATCAACCTCGTCTCTCATACGCCAACCTTACCTCGTCTATTCTCGTTCAAGCCATGCAGGTCAGCTACCTTTCTCTCTTTCTTTTTTTTGTATGCTTCTTCGTCAAATTTATTTTCGTGAATTTTTTTTGTAGTGTGTGCGCGCGCGTGTGTTCGTAAAACATAACCAAGTTAGGGGTCCGATCATGGTGAGCCACGCTCTAATTTTTGGATGTTTAGCAAAAGTGTAACTAGGCTGTATTAGCCGTGCAAAATACTAGTAATTCACGTTCCTCGTCAAACTCCAATAGTTATTACACACAATAAGTAGTACAGGAATGATGTGTACGAGTGCATTTTTAGTATACACTTTCGTGAGATCCATGCGCGCGTGCAGTATGTGTGTGTGTGTGTGTGTGTTTTCTCCTCCAGTTCATTTTTTTAAATCTTTTTCTTTTTTTTCCCTCCGCGAGGACGCGGGATTTTTTTCATGGAGGGGTTGTATGTTAGGTACCTCCTCCCGTACCTTTTCTAGCTGGCCTGCATGCACTTGCGTACGCACCTTTTGTCTCCTTTTGCTCCGTTGGCCTGGGTACCTACTTGCGCACCCATATTTGCCATAGCTACCCAGGCCCTTTATCTTGCCGTTTAGACTTGATCTCTCTCTCTCTTTTCTCACTCGTCAATAATCACCATGTAGTCGTTTCGTTCGTCTTGGTCTCTTGTCTCGTCGTCTATAATAAATGTCGTTCCCACTAACTTGTTCCCGTTGTCAGTCGTCCTGTTTCGAACTCAACATATATATATATATTAACTGGTTTGAGGGAAAGAGACAAACGGGAAAAGTCTGAAGAAAAAATTGACTGTCACCACCAGGACTCGAACCAGGGACCCTCGCTTGTAGCCAGCGATATACACTCAGACAGAAAGGATCTCCAAGTTTCTCAGTGTTGCTACTCTTAATTTCGTGCAAAAGCACTCTTCAGGCAACTTACTCTTCTCTCACATCAGTATCCCTTTACATACCAGAAAAAAAGCACCCTAGGTGGGAATCACAGGTGGAGAAAAGAAGCACGCTAGCCAGTCTAGGTGGGAATCACAGGTGAAGATAAGTGTGGCAAGTGTGGTGGTGGTTTAACCCACCGTACAGCCAATCCGTGAAGACTGATGTTGGCGCGACATTCCTGAGACCTGTCAAGCGCCATGTCCCAGAAGGATCTGCCCTCAGAAAAATATTTAACAAAAATACGATCAAAGTCAGCTACAGCTGTTCGCCTAACTTAGCCTCGATAATCAAGGGCCACAACGCGAAAGTCCTCAGACAGCCGGAAGAAAAGAGATATAACTGCCGTGTCAAAGCAAACTGCCCACTCAACGGGGACTGCAACGCCAGCGAGATAGTGTACGAAGCTACAGTGGACTCCAATCTCAGCCGGAAGAAGTATATCGGCATCTCCGAAACCCCGTTCAAACTCCGGTTCAACAACCACACGTCATCGTTCCGGAATGCCCCACACAGAAACAGCACAGAAC